ACAGATGTAAGCATCGTGGGGATTAACTTGGAGACATAGGACTCGGGGGCAGAGATGTGTGCATGTGACTGCGCCGCTCCTAGACAGGGACTTGGTCTCCGGCTGTCTGCAGCTGCATTCTGATCCCAACAACACAGCCCTGCCCTTTAGACAGCTATTGATCGATGACGCCCCACATTTGGATGTGGGGACAGTTGGGGACATGCCCGTGGGGCTGTTTCATCACACTGCAGCACCGCCACGACACTGAGCCTGGGGGGAGGGTGGCACTGACTCTGGGGACAGCTTAGAGAAAGCGGGGCCAGGAGGGGCAGCTGGCCGAGGCTCTAGAAGGGGCGTGGCCTGGTGGTCAAGCTCTGACATGTGATTACACGAGCGTGTCTGTGTGTGTTCACGCACAGGCTGCCAGGTGCCGTTTCTTCACTCCTAGCGTTCTGGGCTCTTGAGCCGGGCCCATGGCCTCTGTGTCTTTTATTTCTTCATTCTGCAGAATGGGTTCTCACAGGACCCTCAGCATGTGCCTGGCTGGTGTGGGGACTCTGCTGGGGACTCAGCTTTGTATTCAGTTCTCTAGGATTCCAGCTTCATGGAGTATGGATGGGAAGATTCTTTTGTCACTGGGGAAACTCAGGGAGGAAGCCAGGGACTATACAGTAGCAATTAGAAGCGGTGCTGGAGTCGGGTCCAGCCCTCATCATCGCTAGGAACCCCAGGCCAAGAGCAGGGGAGGGACGAATGTAGGTGAGACCCAGTGCTGAGTCCCCCCAATGACAGAGCTCTGCCCCTCTGCTGGGCCCTTCTGAATGGGACTGAGGGTGGCCATCCTTGGCAGTGGCTGCTTCTCCAGAGTTCATCTCAGGGCGACCCTTGCCACCTTCCTGCCTGCTTGGACATCAGACACTTGTGTTCATTGAGATGTTTTGGCTTCTCATTCTCGGGTCTCTGCCTGAACCCAGCCCCTGCCCCTCCTCCTCTGTAGCTAACCTGTTTCTGCTGGCCCAGGTCCTTCCCCCTAATGAGGCCCCACTTCCCTGCGGGCTACCTCCTGCCTCTGTTCTCCTCCTGGTCCTGAGACTGCCCCCCACCCTCACTTAGGGCACAGACTCCAGGCACCATGCCTTCCTTTGGAATCATTCTCTCAGCATCCTGCCTGGACCCCGAGGGCCTGGAGGAGGCCTGAGCAGCTGTCTCTGCGGTCATGGGATAGCTGGGATCCACACTGGCTTGGACTTGGTACAGAGCTGGGCAGGAGCAAAGTTCTTGGATAAATGTCGACCTTTCCTGGGTGGGGGTCCCAGGTGCTGCTCTGGTTGGAAGTGTTCCGATAGATATGGGGTACCTACAACATCCTAGAGAGGCCAAGCCGGTCCCACCAGGCCCTGTGAGAAGTGGGATCAGGACCACTCACAGCACCAATGCTCCTTACACCAATGCCTTTACCCATCTTGGGTGCGGCTGGGGTACATTTTTCACCCACTTCAGTAGTGATGGGAGCGAGACAGAGAGCTGTGCCCTGTGGGGTCCTGGAAGCAGGACCATGGAATGTGGGGACTTGCGGAGCATTCTGTCTCCTTGGCTTCATTTCTGTGAATGGTGGGTTTGATTAGATACAGAGTGTCTCGGAAATGCGAAAACCCAGCTGTAGCCTGGGCCTCTCTGTCCAAAGCCCTAGGATATGTGGGTCACGTGGATGGTTGCCCATAGCCTAACCTCCCAAATCTAGCTATCCAAGAGGTCTCAGTGTTGTAGGGGCTGGTGAGACATGCAGCCAGGTAGCCAAGAAAGCGTGAACTTTCCCCACCTAGGTCTTGCTGTTGCCTAAGGTTCACAAGCAGGTGGGTACTGAGGCAGGAGGATGTCCCTGGTGACCGTCCAGCCTCTCTGAAGTGACTGGTAGAAGCCTGCCTGACCTCATGGGGTCAGGACAGTGAAGGCTGGTAGGTATCCGTGTGCTGAAACCCAGAGCAGGCTGCAGGATTGACAAGCCACCTACATACAGCTCCTGGTTTGTTCTAGATAGGGTGAAGTTTTATCTGAAGCTGTGTGAAGGAAAAGAACAGAAATGGTGTGGGAAGCATACGGCTGAAGGCTGACCAGGTGAAGCATACACCTGAGCAGCAGCAATGCCCTGACTCTGTCACTCTTGGGACATAGCCTAAGGGGACACCTGATAACGGTGGAGTCCCAGTGCACATGAACTTGGCCCCCAGCTCTACATTAGCCCCTGGGCTCCACCTATGATGTGGGCAGGACTCACTCTCCAGCCTCACTTTGCAGGATTTAGGGTGAGTAGAGTGTTCTCACAAGCCCCTAAGCAATGCCATGCCCTCTACTCACAGCTGGACTCCATAAGACAGGAGGCAGGGGTCTGCTATTGACGGCACATCCCTTGGATAAATCCCACCCGTTTTCATCTTGAGACTCAGCTACCGCTACAATCTGTTCATTTGAAGCAACTGCCAAGAGTTAGTTTTGAAACACTTGCAAGGACCTAGAGACACCAAGGACAACGGAGCAGGTCACTGCAGAGAGAGCACTACAGGCAGGTCCTATGAGAGAATTTAAGAATAAATTAGAGAAAGAGGTAATGTGTCCACCAAGGCCACAGTGGGCTCTTGGGGTCCAAGGGACAGGCTGAATTGATGGCTTTAGGGTTTGAGCAGGTAGGAGGACTACAGGTTAGGTTAACTGGGGATGGAGGGTGGGGAGAGACAGGGTAGGGGGAGGAACAGACACCCACCCTGTCTCTGAAGCAACAGCTGAAACCCAAGAATTGAAACAGCAGCAAGCTGAGCATTTTTTAAACTCCCATTTCATCAGAGAATGGTGGCCAGCAGCCAGGACTTCCGGGTGCTCTCCAATGGAGGCAATGGGAGCTGGGGCGCGGCCTCCATGTCCCCAAGGACCCTGGCCAGGCCCCCCACGCCCACACACACTCTCAGCAGAGTCTCGGCAGCTCTCAGTGGCACAGGCTGGAGTTCCACTGGGTGTCCCTTGACGGCCTCTCTGCTCCGTGGCTGCTCCTGGAGGTGCAGAAAGGAAGGGGTTAAATGGAATCTGGAGGTACCGGCTGGTGGGTCACCTTGATTCTCAGGCTGGGTTCCTTCCCTTCTGCCAGAGGGAAGTGGCAGAGGCGGAGGAGGGAGTCTGGGAAACGTGAATGGGGGAGGGTGGGGACCTGGCAGGCCCCACCTCCAGGACCACAGGAGCCGCCCCAGCTCAGAGGCTTGCACTGCCCCGATGGCTCCCGACCCCAGCAGACGCCTCTGGCTGCTGCTCCTGCTGCCGCTGCTGCTCTTCTGCTGCCTGGAGCCTGCCAGGGCTGACGGGAATTCCCTGAATCCCCTGAATCCCTTGAATCCTCTGGTGTGGCTGTGGCCCACCAAGACCGATGATCCGGTCTCCGAGCCCCAGATCAGTTCACCTGTGCAGCTCACAGAGAGCCCGGCCACGCACGTGGTCCCCCAGGATGGCCTCACAGAACAGCAGACGATTCCTCCCGACCCCAAGCTGCCCCTGGAGGATCAGCAAGCTGGCCAGAGTGGGACCCCTACAACCCAGGTCATCCCCACTCCCCCGATGACGACGGCCTCTGCGGCGAGCCCAGACACGAAGGAGGAGAATGTTGCCGGCGTTGGAGCCAAGATTCTGAATGTGGCTCAGGGCATTCGGAGCTTCGTCCAGCTGTGGGATGAGGACATGGCTGCTGAGAACTCGGCTGGGATGGAAGCCTCAGCTTCCCCCTTCACGACATCCCTCCTCACCCCTACTGAGCTCTCCAGCGGCCCCCGGGAGGGCGAGACCACTCTCTGGCTGAGCAGTGGCGCTCCAAGTTCTCCAGATGTTCAGACAACTGAGGCTGGCGCGCTGGCTGTGCCCACCCAGCCACCTCCCTCCCTGAGCAGCCTCCAGGCACCACTGAGAGGACCCTCAGTGCCACCAGCACCCCCAGGTAGAGCTTTTCTCTCTTTCACACAAATCAGGGCTCCTCCCTGGGGGGGCCAGAAGTCCCCCAGGCAGCCCCAGCATCTGGAGGGGAAAGGACTCTTGCCTATGGCAGCCAGGCCCAGCCCGCAGCACCAACACTCTGATGTCCACTCTGACATCCACAGGCACATACCTCTTCCGCTTCCCCTGGTGACGGGTCCCCTGGTGACGGCTTCTCTGAGTGTGCACGGTTTACTCTCTCTCCCTTCCTCTGGCCCCTCAGCCCAGCTCTCTCAAGCAGCAGCTTTACCTGGGTTCCCTGGTGCTTGGGTTTCCCACGTGGCTACCTCTTCAGGGCCTGCGCTTTCCAATGACTCTACACTGCTGGGAACTGGCTCCCTGACCTCTGCCAGCCGATGCCTGCCCCTGCCGCCCACTCTGACCATCTGCAGCCACCTAGGCATCGGACACTTCTGGCTGCCTAACCATCTGCACCACAGGAGCAGTGAGGAGGTGGAGGCCACTGCCCGGGCGTGGGGGCACCTCCTCCAGACAAACTGCCATCCCTTCCTTGCCTGGTTCTTCTGTCTGCTGCTGGCTCCCTCATGTGGCCCAGGCCCACCACCTGCCCTGCCACCTTGCCGTCAGTTCTGTGAGGTCCTGGAGGATGGATGCTGGAACGTCCTAGACGGGGGCAGGCTGCCCGTCCCCTGTGCCTCGCTCCCTTCTCAGGAGGATGGGTACTGTGTGTTCATTGGGCCAGATGCAGGTAACCAAGCGGCCTCCACCCTCCCTTCTCCTTTCCCCTTTGTCAGGAGAGCTCAGCCAGGGCTGATGAAAGTCTTGGCACAGGCTCCCCGCCCCTGCCTCACTCACTGAGCCTGGGTAGTGGCACTGGAGAGGTGCTGGGGTGCGGCATTGGAGAGGTGCTGGGGTGCAGTGTTCTGTGAAGGGGAGGAGGCTGGGGTCTGGGTGTGGCCATGACCGCAGGTTCTATGTCTGCAGCAGGTGTATATGGGTGAAATTATTAAGGCTACTCCACGTCGTTAAAAGGAAGGTTTATTTAGTGGGTAACTTACAAATGAAAGGATAGGTAGGTCTCGGGGTCTGGGGAAGGTGTATCGCAGTCCAGAGGTGTTCTTTGGAGCTCTGTTCGGTCAACCTCCACCGTCTAGGGTCCAGGAACAGAGAGCACACTCGCCCATCCATGTGACAGGTCATCACCTGCCCCAGGTGCTCCCTGAGTCACAGGGAGATTTAGTCCACACAGAGTTAGCCAGGGGCTGCCTCAGTGACAGGCTGGAAATTGAGAAACCAAGCAGTAACGGGACACAAACGAGTGAGCTTTGATTCCTACCAAATTCCAGCTGTTCTGTCCTTGTCCCTAGCCTCTGAGCCACATTGTCTGAAGTTCTCCCTGTGGCCCCAGCCAGCCTAGCCAAAGGGCTGAAAGGTGCCAGCCACACAGGGAGGGTCGGTCATAGGCTCCAGCCTCCTGTATAACCTATAGGCTTCTGCCCAGCCAAGCTCTGGCGTGCATAGCCTTTGATGGCTACAGGATAGCCACGTGAACAGAAGAGGGAGTCATTCTTCAGATTATCCCAGGATCAAGGCAGGGCAGGGGCAGTTGGACCAGGCTCTAAGTGGCTTCCTTTTGTGTCTAGTCAGGGACCAGGCCCTTTGGAGAGTGCTACCAAGCTGTGCTCCTGACCTCTCAGCTCTTGTTTGTGTTGGGAGGCCTTGGCCAGCCTGTAGGACGTGACATCTGTCCTCTGCGTGAGGGGAAGTGGCCTTGACCTTTAGTCAATGGGCTCTGGAGCTGGGAGGCTCTGCTGGACTCAAAGGGGTGTCTGCTGTAGTAATTTCAGGTATGCAGTAATGCAGCCATGAGGGTTCCCTGGGATTCTGTAGGGAATCATCCTGTTGGATGCCCGAAGGACAGACTTGGGTGGTTCCTGGCAAGTTGCTGGTTCCTGGTAAGTTGCTGGCCCAGAGCCTGCACAGACCCTGTGCAGGCCTAGGGTATAGAAAGAAAAGGGTTACAAGTAGGGCAGGGTCAAGCACTAGATAGATAGTACTTAGTCCCAGGAAAGGGCTGGAATGGAGGAACAGATGGGCGGAGGACCACCCAGAGGATGAGCAGGTCTCTGGCTGAGAAGATGCATACAGAGGGTAAGGGACAGACTACGGGCAGAGGAGCTGGATGTGTGAGCCTGCTCCAGGAAGGGCCTGGGCTGTGCAGAAGCCAAGGGGATGCTCATGGCTTCATTAGGGACCACAGCTGGACCTGATAGGGTGGGGCTACCCCAGGGCCATTGGCTCAGATTTTACCCAGCTGGTGTCACAGGGAGTCAGTCCCACACACATTCCATCCTTGAAATAGCTGAATGTGGGGTGGCTCAGGCTGCCTCCCGGTGGAGGCCCGCACCTGGCCACAGCTGGCGGAGCCCATCTTGCATGGATAGCTCCACGGGAATGTGTCCTGACAGGAGAACAGCCTACCGCATCTTCTGTTAGGGCCACGCAAGATGATGGGGAGTCATGTGGGCTGCTATCCAGGGTGAGGAGGGCCCGGCCGTGTGTCTGCTTCCGGGGCAGCCAGAGGCTACAAAGGCATAGGTCCTGTTAGGTGCTGGAAGGAAGGCCAATCCTCCTCTGAGTGAGGGCTCAGCCACATGGGGTGCAGGGCCAGAGCTGGGGCATGTGGCCCTTACAGTGGAGCTTCACGGGACACTAATGTCTTTATTTGTACCTGCCTGGTCCTGAACATCTGGACACATTGGGCTCCATCCCAGCAAGGTCCTGGGGACTGGTCCATCAGCACTCATGGTCCACATCTCTGCAGGCCACATCTGGGGTAGCAAATCTCACTGAGGCCCCTTTCCAGGCGAGGTTGGTGGGGGAGGCTTCCATGGAAACGGGGGTAGGAACAGGAGAGTCCCTTACCTTCTCCATCCTCTCTGCCTCTCTTTCCCGGGCTCCTCCACTCCAGGGTGAACCCCACTCCTGCTGGGCCTCTGTGGCAGACTGGTCACTCCTACCTCAGTGTAGAGTAGGGCGGGTGGAGGTCCTGGTGGGACCAGAGAGAAAGATGAGGAGGCAGGCTCAACCCCTCCCCCACGGTGTTTCCCTAACCCCTTAGTGGTTTAGACTGGGAGGTGCTGGGTTCGACGCTTCGCCCCATGACCCTCTAGGGGCAGGGGCAGTCCTTGACTGCCAGGAGGTGTGGGGATTGGGAATAATGAGTGCCTACAAGGGAGCACGTACGTCCTCCTCAGGGTCTGACCAGAACCCTGGTGGGTGCTTCCCCCTATAATGTGGGCCCTGGTGGGTGCTTCCCCCTATAATGTGGGCCCTGGTGGGTGCTTCCCCCTATAATGTGGGCCCTGGTGGGTGCTTCCCCCTATAATGTGGGCTCACCCCGTTCCCCTCAGGGGGTGTCGTCTGACTCGAGCCCTGCAGTCACCTAAGCCTTGCACACCTGGCCTCGTCCTCCTAATTCAGCACCCCTACACACCTGGACTCACACACCCAACTTTCGTTAACTCAAGTTTCTGTTTAACTTTGATCCGAAGAGACAAGACACTTCTATGGAAAAGTACCTGAATGCCTATGTACACCTGGAGCAACAGCCCTGGCCTTACACATCCGCACACCTCGCCTTGCACACCCGGCCCTGCCCTGCACCCTGAGGCCCCTGTGCTCACGTGTCTGGCCAAGCTTGTCGCTCCTCGCCCATGTCTTTTCTTCTGACCCCTGAGGGAGACCATGAGGCGAGTGACTGGTGCCGAGGTGTCAGGGGAAATGTCACAGCATTCAGTGAGTTGTGATAGCTAGGAGGTAGAGGGTCACCCCATGGGAGCTCCGTGACATGGCTAGATCTGCTGCTGGTCAGCGTGCAGCTGGGCCCCTGGGAAGGGTCGTCTTATATAGGCTTGTCCTTTGGGTATGTGGGGGGAGAGAATGAGGGATGGGCAGGGGTACAGCACCCGGGGGTTCTTGTCCCTGCTGCTCCCACGAGTACTGACCTCCTCCAGCTGCCCATGGGTAGGACTAGTATTGGGCCCGCTGCCGCTTTCAGCAATCGGAGTGGGGCCTGGGGATGACACGCAGCTTGAGTCAAGGGGCTACACGAAGTCGGGCATTTGGCCTCGCTCGCACAGGCCTGGCCTACCCTGGGAATGAGAACAGAAGCAGGTACGATTCCCCAGGGAGCCTGAAAGCTCTTGGGAGAAAGCAAGGTCCAGGGAATCCAGATCCTGCAACTGCAACAGGCTTGCAGACATACTAGGTGTAACTAAGAGTCACACACAGTGTGACCGAACCTCTGAACCCCGTGGGCCCTGCTGGACTGGTTGTGGAGCATTTGAATAGCAGTGGGAGTATTGGGGGGGTGGTTCTGCTGTTTATCGCTCTGGCAGTCCACAAATGCCATAGATACTCCCTCCATCGAGGACCCCGTGAGCTCCCAGCTGTTCTCACCCTGGCTTTTATCTGACTCCTTAATCAAATGTGAGCCTTCGAAATGCTGCTGTTCTTTCGGACGCTTCAGTTAACTCGAGTTTCTGTTTAACTTTGATCCAAGGAGACAAGACCCCTGAATGGAAAAATACCTGAATGCTTATCTCTCACTCCCAGCAACCTGCAGACAAATATTGTGTGCAGGATCCTAGCTGAGCTGTCCACAGACATCCCTTCCTCCTAGACACACCAGATCCACTGCGCAGCCAACTGGCTGGGGTGTCCAGGCTTAGGGCCCCGATGAGCTGTAACCATAGAAGTGTAGGAGCTTGGAGAGAGTCTGCAGGAATGGGATGAACATCAAGGGTTTAAAGTATGGAGTGTAACAGTTTCATATACAGACATGCTGTGAAACAGTGACCACCGAGTTATTTGGCATATCCATCACTTGTCAGGGCTACATTGAAATCTACTCCCTGAGCAGGGGTGTGTGTGTGTGTGTGTGTGTGTGTGTGTGTGTGTGTGTGTGTGTGTGTGAGAGAGTGTGTGTGTGTGTGTGTGTTTGTTTGCAGGACTGGGGATTGAACATAGGGCCTCACCAGCTCTCTAAGCCCTCTCTTAAGTCTTTGCACATAGTACAGATTGTCATCTGTAGTCACCCACTGCAGAACTTGCCCAACTACCAGACCAGAGCTCTTTCTCTGCCTTGGGTTAATGCCTCCCCATTTCTCTGCCTCCACCAGCCAGAAAGCCACCCGTGTGTGCCACATCCTTAGCGTCTACCTGTGAGTGCGGTCACATGGTGTTCATTCTGCACTCAGATTGTTCCATTTAGCACGGTGTCCACCAGGTTTCTCTATGTTGGCACAGGACAGGAGTTCCTTCATGTTCAGTGTTGTGTGTGAGCACAATATCTTTCTCTTCCTCATATCCAGGGACACCACAAGGGTTCTGTGTCATGGTCGCTATGAGTATCGAGCGCTGCCGTAGATCATAGTGGTTCGTGTGTGTGTGTGTGTGTGTGTGTGTGTGTGTGTGTGTGTGTGTGTGTGTGTGTGTCTGAGTCACCATGTCTCCCCCGGTGGCTGACCTAGATTCCACTCCCGCCAGCAGTGTAAAGGGTTCCTCCTTTTTCTACACCACCTGTTACTTCTTGCTAACAGATGTGGGGTGGCGACCTGTTGTGGATTTCGTTTGTGTCTCTGGTGACCTGTGATCTGGAGCAAGTGTGTGCTGTAGGCCACTTGGGTCTTCTTGGAGAAATGTCTGCTCAGGGTTTTTTTTTTTTTTTTTTTTTTTTGCCCATTTTAAAATCCATTTGCTTGCCTCGTTATTGAGCTGTGTGAATTCTGCATCCGCTCTGGAGATTTACCCTTCCTTCTTTCCTGTGCTGTTTGGCTGGCAGATTTCCTCCCAGCCTGTGGGTCATCTCTTCCTCTTGCATGAAGGATGCTGGCACTTTCTTGGTCATTCTGTCAGGATTGAGATGTCAGTGTCCTTGTCTACAAGGCTTATCTATGGTGGTAACTTTTCATCACTGCGGCGTGTTACCTGTTAACACCTTAGGGGAGGAGAGAGTCGTCCTGCCTCATGGGCCATTTGTGTCTGGCTCCATTGCTTCTGTCCTGTGGTGAGGCACCACCAAGGGCATGGCAGAGCAGAACTGCTCACCTCACCGTATCTAGGAGTAGTGAAAGCCAGAGACCAGGGACCAAGTGGCCTTCAGAGACAGACCCTCCGCAAACCTTCTTCCCTCCAGGCTCTACCTCTAACAGCCCATTCCTGGATTAACCAACCAAAGACGTGACACCCTTCATGACACCTCCCACTAGCAACACCATGTGGGGACCATGTCTGTAACACAGGAGCCTTTGGGGGACATTTTTCATCCAAACCAGAACATTTGCTTCCCTCGGGGGACAGCTGAGGTGGGGTCCAGCACAGAGGGCCTGGTCCCACTGTAGCCGCTCAGGCAGGTGGGGACAGTATGTGTTGTGATTCTGTCCTTGACTAGCTTTGGGAGAAGATACTTGAGGAAGAATGAGAGTGTGCCCTCTGCACTGCTCACCTCGGGGGCCAGCAGAGTCCCCAAGTGAGCCCAAAGACTGGCTCCTTGATATCGTCCTTCCCATTGGCGGGTGATCCATCTATCCTTCTGCCTTGGGAAAACCACCGCTTCCGCATGTTTTTATAGTGATAAAATAGACTCAACATAAAGCATATGGCTTGACCACTGCTCCATATACAGGTCAGTGCTGTTGCCAGGACTCAGCTACCTCCAGAGCTCCCACATCCCCAAGCTGGATCTCCAGCTCTGTTAAACACTACAAACTCCACAACTCTTGCTATCCATGTATCAGCCTTTGGGGAGAATGCACGTTCGGGTCCTTGGCTTGGTTTTGAATCGGTTTCCTCTGTTGTCAAGTCTGAAATGAGCTCCTGCATTCTGAGTATTAAGCATTCTGCTAGTTAACCGCTCATGTTGTTGTGACTAAACACCTTACAGAAGCCACACAGGGGCTCACGGTTTGAGGATGCCTGGGAGGTGAGGCAAGGCAGAAGGACGGAGAGGAAGCAGGAAGAGGAAGCAGGAGTTGCAGCCAGGAAGCAGAGAGCTCAGGTTGCCTTTTCCTTTTTACCCAGTTTGGAGGTTGCAGGCTGCTGTGTGGGAGCCGCAGCATGTGGAAGCTATACAGCCAGGATGCTGTGGACAATGGCAAGCCTGATGGTAGAGGAAGCACGGGATTTGGGATTGGGAATAGCTTTCAATCCATTTGTGTGTGTGTGTGTGTGTGTGCGCGCGCGCACGCGCACATGCATGCACTTATATATTCACAATGTGAGGACCTGCCAACATTAAAGCCTATAGCTTTGGAGGAAATAATCCTTTGGTTATATGTGTGATTTCTGGATGCTGCATTCTGTCTCATTGGTCTGTAGGTTTGTCTGTCTTTTTTCTTGAGGCAGGGTCTAGTGTGGCTTAGGAGATCCTGCTCGGGCCTCTCGAGTGCTGGTTACAGGATATTACAGATAGACAACACCATATTGGCATAAGGACACATATCTCTGGCATAAGGACACATATCTGTCCTTATGCCAGAGACACAGTCTTGGTGACTGTAGCTTTGGAGGAAGTTTTAAAACCAGACGTTGTGAGTCCACCCACTTGCCTCTTTGTCACGAGTGCATTGGCTTCCTTGAGATTCAGCATGAATTTCAGGATGGGTTTGCCATGTTTTGCAGAAACTACCATTGGGAAGACTGAGGCTATACTATAGCTCTGTGGTAGAGCATTTCCCCGACGTGGGCAATGTCCTGGGTTCAATCCCCAATGCTGCCAAAAACCAAACCAAACCAAACTACCTTGGGAGTTTGATAAGGATTGCTTAGAATCTGTAGGTCAGCTCAGATGGCTTTTGTACTGGCTGTAGTTTGAGTGTGTCTCTCCAAAATCTGATGCTGCTGAGGGGACTGCAGGATCTGGTCTCCTGAATGAGCTTAACACTCCTTTGAAGGTAGAGGGTGTGTGTGTGTGTGTGTGTGTGTGTGTGTGTGTGTGTGTGTATACTACCCCCTGCTCTTTTACTTCTTCTGTGCAAGGACAGCCTTTTGTCCCCTCCTGAGGACACAGTGAGGTGGTGCCATCTTGGAAACAGAGACCTGGTCTCAGAACCCCTTGGCCTTGACTCAGCCTCCTGTGCTGTGAGAAATTCGTTACTCTTGGGTGTAAGTTGCTCAGTCTTGGTTTGCTTTAACAGCACCATGGCATGGCATTTCACCGATCTGCCTGTAATTTCTTTCGGCGGTCTTTTGTGGTTTTCACTGTACAAGACTTTGCCCTTCTTGGCTAAGTGAGGTCCTAAGCGTTTGATTCTTTTCAGTGCTGCTGTATGTGGAATTGCATTGAACTTTCCTTTCCGGACGGCTTGTTGCTGTGGATGAACACAGTGCTTTCTCTGTCAGCGGACGTGTCCTGCTGGTTCATTTGTTTGTTCTGTTATCAAACTTGGAGGTCACAGCCTGTGCCCCAATTCAGGTCTGGCCACCCATTGTCAATAAGCCAATTAAAAGAGCCAAAATTAAAGTGGAAAGCCTAAAAAGGAGATTTATTCAGTGGCCACATTGGGAAGAGGGAGGAGGAGATCCAGCAGACCTCATAAGTCTGTCTTCCGGTCCTGATGTGAGGTCAAAGTTTAAACAGAGGGCCAAGGATGTGCACATCTAAGCAGCCCCGGTCAAGATGTGGTCCTGCCAATCCCTAGCCCTGCCAATCACTGGATCACTGGCCCTGCCAATCACTGGTCCATCATCCTCTGGGCTTCGATCTCATCCTGTAAGGTATTCTGATAAGATGTTAGGATCTTGTAAAATCACTTTCCAGGAGATAAGATGCTCCTCTGGCGGGTGCCTTTTCCTTCTCCCAGCATGGGATTCTTGGGGAAAAATTCCCATTTCTTTGGGGTCCATTGTTTCAACAGTCTGACAGATTGAAACAGAATTGAGAGACACAAGGGTCTCTTTAGAGTAGCTTCATTTCTGCCCAGACTGCTTATAGACAATATTCAAGGTCATACTGAGAACTTCTTTCTTTCCAACCTGTTCACCTTTGCTTCTCTTCCTTCTCCTCTTTCCTTCTCTTGCTCCTCCTTCCTCCTCTTCCTCCTTCCTCCTCTTCCTCCTCTTCTTCCTTCTTCTTCCTTCTTCTTCCTTCTCCCTCTCCCTCTCCCTCTCCCCCCCCTCTCTCTCATATGCACATACTCACCACACAACTCACCACACATATGCTACACACACACACACACACACACACACACACAACTTGAACAATGGTTAAGAAGACAGCTTGCCTTGCTCCTGTTTCCTATACACAAGGCTTCCATCTTCACCAGGGCACAGGGCGTTTTTGTTTTCTGTTTTTGAGTCAGGGACTCATGTAGCACAGGCTGGCCTCAAACTTATCATGTAGCCAAGGATGACTTTGAGGTTCATCCAGTGCCCACCTCGGGAGTCCTGCAATTATATATAGATTATGTACTATCACATCCACCTGGGTTTTGAACCCAAGGCTCCATGCGTTCTAGGCAAGTGCTCTACCAACTGAGCTACACCGCCCAGCCTGT